AGCTTAGTTTCATTAAAAAGGGGATATCTGCAATACTTTCAACAATAATTTTTTTTAAAAATGACAATAACAACAACAACAATATCAAACGTGTATCAAGTGCCAGGCACCATGTTAAGTGGTTAGTACTTAGGACTTTATTTAATCATCTGAGTTACATGATTCTCTCCCCTTCACTGGGAGCACAGAGGGGTAAGTAACAGATCTAAGGTCAAGGGCAGCGAGTTTAGCCATATCTGAACCTTCACTAACTGGCTCCAGAATAGATGCTGACATCCACTACTCTGTACTCTCTCGCCAGGAAGAAGTGTTCTGGACTTCTAAAACTTATTCTAACTCTTGTCTTCTCTGACTTCAATGAAGTGATTTTTTTCTAAGCAGTTTCTCCAGTTCTGCAATTGTAATGTTTTCAAAACTTTGTAAGAAATTAGAGTAAAATGATCATCTAGGGAAATTACTTCGGTGCCTATTTTTATTCTGCTTTCATTCTATGGAATTACTCCAATAATGTGATCCTCTGTCATGGCTATTAACTCATGGAAATGACAGAAGCTAAGGCACACTTGTGATCGCAGCTCTATTGTTGATGTATTCACATATAAAATCTGACTGTCATTCTGCCTTACCAATGTCTCCCATGAAATTCTTTCTCTCTCATTTAAGCTGTGTGTTCAATGGAGCACAGTATGTTTTAATGATTCTATAAAATATCTGGGTGCCCAATTTTCATATAAGAATCAGTATAATGAAAATAATAGTGAGTAAATGTTACATAAATTTAGAAGTACAGAATATTTTTCCTAATAATCATATCACACTGTGTAGTCTATTTTGGAGGATCGCCAAATTAAAAAATAAATTAAACATAATTCATTTGTAGTATCTGCTCCTCAGATTTCCCACGCCTGCTGATATGCTTCAGAATGAACATCTTTGTCCTCGCTTTAGGGTATTTTTAACAACGATTTTTTCCCCCCCAAAAAATGACTGAAGTTAAAATTGCATTAAGGTTGCTTATGCCCATTAATGGATATTTCTGTTTTTTCAATCGTTATATACACTTCAAGTTTCCCGGAAATATTTCTGGTCTTGGACACAACTACATATAAACAGACCCATTATAGTAAAAACAAAGAGATCGTGAATTATTGTTTGCTCTTAATTTACACCTGATAGTAAACAGAAGAGTCCCCCTTATCTGATGGACACATCAAGGTTCAAAGGCCTTGACGGAAAGCCTGACCATGAGACAAGGCGGGGGGGCTCTGGTTTCCTCACTCAGATCTGGTTCCAGACAACGGAACTGGGCATCTTCAGCCACCCTCCCCAACAGGCAGGTGCCTCTCCCACAGGCCCACGAGCCACAGCCTTTTCCAAGGCCCACACTTGGAAAAATCGCTCAGGCCCCAGTACCACGACCTCTTCTTTCTTCACAATTCTCCCTGCCTTTCGGTCCCGCCTCGCCAATATATCCCAGTGTCCTTCAGCTACCCTGGGCCCCTCCTGCCTTGAGAAAAACATCACACAATCTGATTCACTCAAAGGTGTTAGTGACCTAATGTGTGACTTCACCTTGGGGACTTTGCCATCTACAAAAGGAGCCTGCAGAGGACAATACCAGGCCCCAACTTAATGAGTGACCAGTGATAGATTTAAAGCATGACTATGGGAAGTATAAGGTGGTTTTTGGAAGGAGCCTCCTCTACGCCCCTTCAAAGCACTTCACTGCCTATTTTACTCATTTTTGGCGTAAAAGTTTAGGTCCATAGTTGGCCACACACGGTTTCCAGAATTAGAAGGAAACTCACTCTCATCACTTAGGAAAATGCTTTTAGGTTCCAGATATTGCCGGATCTTAGTTCTAAGCGGTCAGAAAAAACTTTGTCATGCATAAAACTGACTAGTCAGACTAGGTAATTTCTAAAATCCTTTCCAGTTTACTTATTTTTTAACTTTTTCTAATTACCCATTGACTTTATTTTATGATAAAGAACTGCAGCCCCCAAATCTCCCTTAATCCAGTCATTTTCTCTCAATTTTGTATTATCCTGTCCACATCCCCATAGCAACAGCAATGAGGTAAGTTCTCGTAAATCAACTGATGCACTTCCATTAGTATATTGTGGGTTGATGCAAGATCTTCCTAAACCCAATCACACAACTGCTTTATCCATCCCTTACACCGTGTCTGTCCACAGACTAATATTTCTAAAATGTAAATCTGATCATGTCCTTTCCCCCTTAACATTCTTCCATTTTCCAATTGGTTTTAGAATTAAACCCAAATTCCTCAGCATGGCACACAAACACACAAAGTTACTGTGATCTGAACTTTGTGCCCTTTCTGGCTGTTTCCACACCCATCCCCCCTCCAGCCACCCAGGACTCCCTGAAAAGGCCACCATACGTGCTCAGGCCTCCGTGCCTCTGCCCACGCCACTCCCAAAGTCTTCCTTTCCTCCAACCCTTTCTACTTCTCACCTGGTTCACCCCGATTCATCCTTCAGAATGAAAGCTGAAATACTGCGTGCTTCAGGAAAACTGCGAAGTATGCTTGCTGCACTATTTATGAACATCTGATTCTGCTAAAGAGAATAAGAGGAACAAGGAGGAGAGATGGCATTAAGCATGGAAACAAGTAACCTGAGAGACATCTCAGACATCGGTTAAGTAAAGTAGGAAGGGACGGGACTATGTGTGCATCAAATAGTCATGAAGCTCTCGGAGAACCCAGTATTCATGAGGCACCCACATCCGTGAGATCTTATACAGGATCTCCACTGCCGACATCCAATTTGGTCCACCTGTCCTCTGTCCAAGACAGAAAGATAAAATAAATAGCTGCTCAGCCGGTTAAGTGTCAAGCCCAGCTGTGACAGAGTATATTTGCCCTGTGCCTCTCTGGTAGAACAAGTACATTTCAGCTCCAGCCACCTTCCAACACTGCTCACTGTAAACTTTGGACCTCTTACCCTCATCAGCAAGAAGGCTGATGGGTAGAGATAAAGGGACCGGGGGGGGGTGGGGGGAGAGAGAAAGAGAAAGAGAGAGAGAGAGAGAGAGAGAGAGAATATTAATATTGTGGATCTGTGTACCTCAGGATCTGGGTAGCATGGTCCTTCCTGCCTGTTTGCAACCTGAACTAGTATATTAATATATTCCATATATTTCCCTTTCTTTCTGTATGTTTCAAATTGATTTAATAAACCATGTGATATGTGCATCTCCGTTTGGTCTGTGGGCCTTTCTGTGTGTTTCTCTCTGGGACAGGCTTCCTGGAAGTATATTTGGAGGCTACCATCACAGCGAGGAGTTTTCCCAAAATGCAAAGGCATCCTGTTGCCTCGGACCAGGTCGTGTCCTGCCTTGGCACTGCTTGGAAACATCTGTCACATAGCCAGAGGAAAAACGCGGTGGGGTAGGCGGAGTCGGGCAAAGGGGGGATAAATGGGGACGGAAAGAGACTTTGCTTTGGGCAATGGGTGCGAGATGTAGTGTGCAGATGATGTTTTGTTGAGCTGTACACATGAAACTTGCATGTATGGGTTTTGTGAACCAATGTCACCCAATAAAATCAATTTAAAAAAGGGGGGAAAAAAGAAAGCATCTATCACAGCATTTAGCTCTCCATGTTACAAAATTGTTTGCATGTTTTATTTCCCATTAGACCGTGACATGAGACTAAATCTTCTCACTCAGAGCACCTAAAATTATTAAAGACTTTGACGAGTTTGTTAAACTACAAGTCAATAAACGTGTTGCAATTCATTAGTGCCACTTGAAACCAGAATTCAGATCTCTGATTGCACCACTAGGCAGAACCAGAACCTTCCCATCTCTCAAGGTCTTGAGCAGGGGCGAGTGAGACTAAGACTCATCACTTACACTACGCCTTCCCCTGAGGAATCTGAGGTGGAGAGGGCAAAGGCATTGATCCTGATTAACTACAGGGAAAAACACCCAGTTTGATCTCCATTCTGGAGGTCAAGTGGAAAATAACTAATGAGCTAGGAGTCTTAGCAACCACACAAGGTTTCTGAAATCCTAGCATGGGTCATAGCATTTTTTCAAGAAGTAATGGTGTCGGTATTTCCCCAGATGTTTCCCCTTCAACATCTTGAGATCCAGTAATGGCATGTTACCATCTTTGCTCTAATTCTGGACAGGGCATGCCTATTTGATGAACACCCACTTTAATTAAAAGTTTCATGGCCCTTCACCTGTTTCTTCTTTTTTGTTATAACGTGGGTGACAGAGACAGGGATTTTAAAAACTAAATGTCTACAATAAGGAACAGGTAGCTACTTACTACAATCTCTTTGCGCGGAAACTGAGGCAAACGATCCTGGTGCGTTTTCTAGTTTCCATTATGTGCAATTATTTCTTTTCCTCTCCTGTCATTTAAGCCTTCGAGTCTCCTGCATATCAAGCCTCACTCTCATTTTCGCCATGGATTCCCTTTTGCTCACTTGCTCCAGCTCCATCTGGTACCTCTCCACCGTCTGCTGTCTCTCTTCATCACTCCCTTATTTTTACTCTGTTCTCTCTCTCGTCTTTTTCTCTTTTTTCCCCCCCAGGTCTTTTGGTCCATTGCTCAGTCCCTCCAGCAGGGACAAGAGAGTGTGATTAGGAATGTATCTGCAAGAAGACACAAATGCAAGACAAAAGCATTAGGTTCCAACTGACACTGAAATGCCCCAGCCTGGTGGTCAGGGCACTCCACCAGAACTATAAAATTCTTCCAGAAAAATAGCAAGACAGAATTCATTTTAAATTACTTTAAGAAGTAATCAGACACCCTGAAACCTCTTTTGAGAGGAAGTAGTAGTAAAAGAGGGAGGGAATCTTAAATTAAATCAAAGATTATGAGCAATAATTCTGGGAAAGTGTTAGAAGTCAATATTTTTTAAGTATCCTATTTTCCTATATGTTTGAAACATAATTATAGGTCTTAACCTACTGTGTGCATTAAACTATAATTGACGAAAGAGAAAACATAATTGCAGTGTAATTTTTTAATGTAAAGACATCCCAGATGCCCAAACTAAAAATTCAAACTTCCAACAGCATTTTGGAATGTTCATATATTTTTTAAAAAACTGGTTTTCATTGCCAAACATGACTCTAAACTTAAGAAAATAAAATTCCTGGTCAGCAAGAGTTTTGTATGAAATTCTGCTAATGTAAAATAAACACTTCCCCTTAATATGGTATTTTAGTATACTTTCATTCATGTATGCTTTCCTTTTATGTTCTACAACAAAGAAAAAGATACTAATTTTTCCAAAAAAATCTAAAGCTTGAATGCCAACTCATGTTTTTGTTTTCAAAAATTAATAAAAGTGGCATAAATCAACTAGACATCCCTAAAACGACATTCGTTGATTGTGTAGTATTTTTGCTATGTTGTTAGCTTTCCACTTCCACAAGCTTTTTTTTTTTTTAAACAAAGTTCTCTGGGAAATTGTGTCCTCTTGTGGTCACTAGCAAAAACAACATGTTTTCTGCAGAAGGAATCAATCCTAACAATGAATACAGGATTTAAGGATTCAGGAAAAGCCATTGGAGAAAAAAAGGAAACCCCTTGAAGTGAAGAGAGATGAAAGTTGTAAGTAATTAGAAAGGGAAATTTCGCTGGAAAAACACAGAATGCAAATCATTTGATTTATATTTAAATTGCTCGGTTATGAGATGATTAAAAAGGAGGTAAAATGCATATGATGTAGGAAGATTGTGGCCATGATAAAGGCCTCTATGAATAAATATGAATTTCTTAATTATGTCTTCAGTTATCGCAGTGATTCTTTCCAATAAGTAAAGTGAGAGTGTATTTCAACAAGGTTAGTTGGCAGCAAAGACAGGCACGGACTTTCTAGCCTATGCACCCAATACACTAATAAAGACTTTGGGGAAAGGCTCTTTAAAACTCCATACTTTTCCACACTCTGATTCTCCTCTCCCTACAAGTTCAGCAAGTTGTGTCTCCTCATTTCACCCTCATTTTGAGTGCACAATGCCAGATATTGGAAAAACTAATATTTATTGGAAAATCTGATTTGCTCATTTGAGGTGTTCTTGGCAACTCAATTTCTAGTGCTTTCTATTTTTTCAACTTCTGGATTTCAGGCTTCAAATTTTAGTTGCTTATAACTTTAGCTTCTTTTTCCTTAAGAAATACAGAAACAGAAACATAGAATCAGTTAAATTCATGAATGAACCTAACATTAAAAGAGAAAGAGACTGACCCCTTGGTTAGGGCAAGGTGTTCAAACATCATTAAGGCTACCTGTGTCCCAGGGAAATAATCTGCTTTTATACAGTTATCAAAGTCACTTGTGCTGCCACAAACTTTAGGCTGCACTTTGATAAGAGCCCCTCACTTAAATTCCTGTACAGTGTTCAAACCCAGATTTAATCTACAATGTGCTGTCTCATCTGAGATCCACTCACTGCAGCCTTTTCCAGTTTGCGCCCCCTTCTGTGTGAATCATCTTGTGCTTCATTCATGCAACTGGGAGAAATTATTTCACAGAACCTAAGCCGACAAGCAGGTGGTAGGTCATCCAAAGACTGAGGAGGAAGCGGAGACACAGAGTCAGTTACTCATCTTTTGTGCAAGACCAACCCCAAAACTTACCAGCTTGCTAACAGTTTCATAGTGTGTGTGTGTCTTTTCCATCTCTAAAAGTATTTCTAAATGACTCTTGCTACGAGAATGCCCATGCAAACTCAAACTGTAAAGATACAGATGCCTACATACTTATTGCATATGCTCAGTATGAGATTCTTAACTCTGTTACTTGTAACAGTTTTCTTAAAAAAATTAACACAGCACACATTCCTCAGGACGGACTGCAAACAGCCAAGTTAGCAGTTTGAAAACAAAGCTCGTTTTGAGTTATCGAGTGCAAAAGAAAACCTTTTTTGTTTTCAGTTAAATTACGTTCAGAAAATTGATTTTCGAAGTAGGCAAAAAAGAATTAGTAAATGGCAATTAATCCAGTGTTCCCAATGAAGATAGCGCTTCCCGGACATTCTTCACGTCAGGCTGAGTTGGGGCTCAAAGGGAAATTTCAAAGACTGTTTTAATTTTAAGAGTTTCGAAATTAGGCTTTCACAACTGAGCTTTCGTTTGTTAAAGTGAGTACATCTAAAGTTATCACTGGTGTGGTATTTGCAACATAGGCGGAATTGCTTTTGGCTCATGAGCACATAGACAGGGATCCCGCCTTTGCTCTTGCCTCAGGAAGTGTGGCTAAGAAAATCCTCAGATACAGTGTTAGGTGGGGTGCAGACCGGGCAAGTGGGACAATCCTGCGGGGATTCAATCTGCAGGCTACAGCCTTCTGCTCGCAAAGCAACATTGGAGCCCTCAGAGCCCAGTCCCATCCCCATTCCTTCTCAGAGCTCAAGTCATTCATTGTGACTTGCTCAGGGACGTTTCTGCGGGATGGTTCTAGTTAGGTCATTCATTTTAAACCCTCTAAGCATTCTGTCACTCAGAGCTTCACCTCAACCCCCAGGGTCCCTGCGCCGGCCAGGAGCTCTTCATGCTCTAGAGAAGTTTAGTGCCAGGAGAAGGGCTGGGCTCCCTTGTTTAGGAACCAGTCTCGGTGATTGATGACTTGGCCAGTCGGGCTGGCTAAGGATCCCAGGCTGCAGCGCTGTCAAGGACTCGGTTTCTCTCCCAGTTTCCCCGCCCCCATTTTCA